CCTGAGGACCCCTCCTTGTTTCCTTCACTGCGTCCTTTACTAATGCTGTCTTATCACCTGTTAGTCAACTTCACTCAGAATAAATCTTTACATTTCTTCATGGATTGTTATACAGAAATAGAAGAAATAAACAAATATATATATAAACAACAAAAATGCTCTAATTGAGCTATTGGATATTATTNAGGTTGTGGAGCCTCCGTTGATATGCCGTTGTAAATGGCTTGATGGAAAGCAGGTGTGTAGTCGGGGAGGGTGCACAGCTGATTGCAGCAGGTGAGTGGAGGTTGAGCCGGGAGCCAGGAGTGACAGCCACCACGCACACACAAACAACACAGACAGGGGGAAACAAACAAACACAAAGGAGACGGCTGGAGCAGTACAGCCACCACAGCGTTACCTAATGCAACTCCACTACGTCTTACGGTGCCGTGTACCGGAGGGGAGAGAGAGAGCAGCGAAGGGGGGGAGAGAGAAGTAACACAATACTGCACCATGATTACAAATGGTGAAATACAATGTAAAACTACCGAAAAATACCAGCTCACTAAAACACAACCGCTCAACTCAACGCAACTACTAACCATACCCGCGGTCAGAGAGCGGAGATGTTTCCCCTTTGTTATGTAATATGACGCGTTTGACGTATGACCTTAAAAAAAAGCCATTTTTAAGAGCAGAGCTCAAAATTGCTCCTTTCCCTCTGAATTCCTGCCCTTATGTCTCGTAAAACATATCAAATCCTACATTCACTTTTTAAATTGTAATTTTCAAGCAAGTTTAAGCATAAATGTAGAAAAAAAAAAAACCTGCAAGATGCTCTTTAAGTAAAGTACAGATACCTGAAAAATCTACTTAAGTACAGTACTGTTACTTCCCACCTCTGGGGACAGGCCCAAGCCTTCTACATTGCTTTGTTTCTTTACTCTTGCGTCCAAGTTACCTGTCAGTTTGTTTTTGCGATAGCAATTTGTAGATTCTGAGGGGCAAAACTCTGTATGTATGAAACCTTAAAATGATGACCTTTTGAAGGTTGTGTCTCCAAAAAGTAATTAGCATGTATGGAACGCATACAGAAAATAAATAAGACACTGATCAATGCAGGTGAACTCATTTGTGATTTGATATCTCTGATGCTAGGACCTTGCAAAATTACCTTAAGTCACAAAATGCCTTCCACACGACCTTTCCTGCTGCCCTGTTTGTCACAATAGATTAGGACTGGCTTTATTTGCGTGCATTATGCTGCGTGGATAACTGCAGACAACTGCCTGACATTTAACCAAACAGGAAGTCAGAGCGCAGCTGTGGGTCCACTCTCCTCGGCCTGATGAGCCTGTTGAGGCCTCACTGCAGCGTGACCTTGTTCTGAGGTTCTGCCTGCGTCGGCCTGATAACAAGTCAGCATGAGCTCACAGTAACCAATCAGGAGGGAGACCTGGCAGAGAAGAGCTGCAGTTCATGTGAGGAGAGGAGTTGGTTTGTGTTGGGGAAACATTTGCTGCTGGTTCACCACACTGCCAAAGCCTGTGTTTGGATGTGAATGTGATCGGCCTTTTTTTCCCCAGGCTTCAACATGCTCATCTCCATTTACTGATACCTTCTATGTATTCATAGCAACCTGTGTGTTTGGCATGCCCAGAACACACTGGGCAGAGCACTGATGCTAAGCTAAATTAGCCACCTAATTTTTCTTTAATATTACTTTTTTGCATTTTTGTTTTCTTAATACAGCTGAAGATAGACAGGAAATGAGTAAATAGACCTGAAGATTTGAAGCAAAGAGTTGCTGTCAAAGTAACACAACAAATTGAGGTACTGCGGGTATTTCCTCCCAGGGTCTGAACTGTTCGCTTAGCACAGCCCTTTGGCTCTTAAGATAAAACAAAATCAGTTACAAATTCCCCCTGCACTCAGGATTCAATTAACCTGCATTTATTTTGTTTAACTAAATGTATATAGGGCATGGGCGTAATTTGGGGGGATTTTATTTTTAATAATAAACACATTTGAAAAGTGGTTCACCAAAGTTCACCCCAAAAGTCAAACAATGGTAAGTTTTGCTACATGTTGTAATCCTTGATGCACTGTTTTAAAGGAAAAGGGTGAAATGTTTTAACACTGCAAGGTTTATGGAAAGAGATACAATCTGATCTGGGGTTATTTGTCACTCTTTCACAAAACCCCCTTCAGTGTGACTGCCTGTTCTAATAGTGTTTAATAGCAGGTACCTGGTCCAGGGGGTGTTTTAGGACCTGCATGTGTTTATAGTTGCTTTCTTGTAACTCCTTCAGAGCTCTGTTGATCACTTATTAGGAGTCATGCTCGCAAACATTTCAGATCTTTAAAAAGGGTATTATATAAATGTTTTGTTTGTGAATCCATTAAGTCACTCATCACTCTCTGAGTTGCTCCAATACTCATCAAATACATGCCTGCATATTCCTGCTGGAATACTTGGTAACATATTTGTGTAATCTTCCTGATTATTACAAAAAGTATGTATGTTTTGGCACCATACATTGTGCTGCTAGTGTAATAAAATGCATTACATTTCATTATTGGCTTCCCTATGTTATTTATCTTTAATATTAAGAGTTTTGTGTTATTTACTGTTGGGTTCAAGATGGAATCACTTAATAATAATAATAATAATAATAACTTTTATTTATATAGCGCTTTTCAATAACCCAAAGTCGCTTACAAAAACAATTAAAAGTACAGAAAGGGGGTGAACAGGCAGAAGACAACATATTGGACAAGAAAATTGAACATGAACATTACATGAACAGGCAAAGGACAACACAGGGGGGGAGCAAGCATAGGACAACGAGCAAAAGACAACATAATGGAAAAGAGGAAAGAAAAAGTTGATGAATGTATGAATAAGAGATGCAGCGTGGGGTGAATAAGAGATACAGCGTGGGGTGTGAGTGAAGTCAGTGGGTTGGGGGGTAGGGTAAGTTGAAGGCTTGGGAGAAGAGGTATGTTTTCAGCTGGGTTTTGAAGGTAGACAGTGTGGGAGAGTGGCGGACAGATTGGGGGAGGGAGTTCCAGAGGCGGGGTGCTGATCTGGAGAATGCTCTGTTGCCAAATGTTTTGAGTCTTGATGGTGGTACTGTGAGGGAGAGAGTGGAGGAGGATCGGAGGGCTCGGGGGGGGTTGTCGGAGGATGAGGAGGTCAGAGAGGTAGGGGGGGGTGGCCTAGATGGGTGAAGGGCTTTATAGGTGAGAGGCGAAGAATAGTTTTTGAAGATGATGCGGTGTTTGATCGGGAGCCAGTGAAGAGAGCGGAGGAACGGGAGTGATGTGTTCACGGGTCCGGGTGTGGGGTGAGAGGCGGCAGCAGAGTTTTTGTACCATTTGGAGTCTATGGAGGGAATGGGGAGGATGCCAGTGAGGAGGCGTTGCAATAGTCGAGGCGGGAGGTGATGAGGCATGGATGAGGGATTCAGCAGCACGGGGGGAGGTAGTTGTTTGATATTGTGGCAATGCGGCGGAGGGTGGAAGTAGGAGATGCTTGATGATGGAGCTGACATGGGGGTCAAAGGGAGAGTGGGGTCCAGGATAACGCGCAAGATTGCGTGCAGGGGGAGGGGTGAGATGGTCGAATTCTCAATGGTGAGTGAAATGGGTCCTGTTTTATTGAGGGTTGATCCTGGTGCCTAATGATCTTGAGTAAGCCCTCTGGGTTTTTTTATCACGTTGAGTTTAAGGAAATTGTGAAGTCAGCCATCGTTTTTATTGAAGAGATGCCAGGTTTCGATATGGGTGAGGGGCGGAGGGTCTTGTGAGGGCGATTGGTGGTGATGTAAGATCTGGGTGTCATCGGCGTAACAGGAAATCAAGGTGAGGTTGCGAATAATGTGACCAAGGGGGAAAAGATAGCAGATGAAGAGGAGGGGGCCGAGGACTGAGCCCTGGGGACCCCCTGTGTGACTGGGGAGAGGGCGGATGTGTGGCCAGAGAGGGAGATGAATTGTTGCCTGTCGGTGAGGTAGGAGGTGAGCCAGTCAGAGAGCGGAGCCCTCAACACCCTGTTTGCCGCCAGCCTTTGTAGGAGGATTGAGTGTATTCACAGTGTCAAAGGCTGCGCCTGAGGTCTAGTAGTAGCAGGGATGTTGAGAGGCACCGGAGTCTGCAGAGGAGCAGAGGATCGTTGATTACTTTGGACCAGGGGCTGTTTCAGTTGCTGTGGAGTGGCGAAAAACCAGACTGGAGGCCGGTTCATAGAGGTTGTTGGACTGGAAGGTGGGTGTGGAGCTGGGTGGCGACAATACGCTCCAGTGTTTTGGGAGAGGAATGCAGGTTGGAGATGGGGCCGGTAGTTGGAGGAGGTTGGCTGGGTCAAGGGTGTGGCCTTTTTTGAGGATGGCGGGTGATGGAGGCAAGTTTTGTAGATGGAGGGAACAAGACCAAGGGATAGAGATTGGTTGAAGAGGGTGGTGAGGTGGGGGATGAGGACAGGGAGGCAGGCCTTAGTTAGGGTCGTAGGGAGGGGGTCAAGAAAGCAGGTGGTTGTTTTGGATGAGGTGATGATGGCTAGGATGTGGGAGGAGTCAACAGGAGAGAAGGCAGTGAGGGGAGGGAAGGGCGGGTGGACTGGGAGAGGAGGGGGGGCGTGGGGGTTGGAGGAGATAGTGGTCATGGCAGTTAGGGAGCTGTTGATTTGTGAAACTTTGTTGTTGAAGGCGAGGAGGAAGGAGTTGCATAGGTTACACTTGACTTCTGAAAGAGTATAATGATACATTTACTGTATCCTACAGCCATGTTTAACATTTATTTTCTTTCTCTTTCTATGACATGTGAATATGAACCACTCACCAAAGACCGTCCTGGCAGGCACAGACTCTCTGTTGAGCCAGAAGGAGACCTGAGACAGGATGACGGTCATGATGCAGGGCAGATACGTCTGGATCACAAAGTATCCGATCTTCCTCTTCAGGTGGAACTGAGCCGTCATCACCGTGTACTCACCTGAGGAGAGAGGGTCAGCTGAGTGGGGACGCTCACACACATCAGGTACACCTGGGTAGTATTAGTAGACTGATAAAAGGTGGCATAAATAAGGTATGCATGGTATTATATTCATGTTAAGACATACATACACATTTATTTTACTGTGTTTATTTGGAAACTTTTAAATTAGCACTGTGAATACTAGAAATTCATGAATCTTGGCGGTGTAGCGCTGTCTCAAATAGCACACGGCTCAAAAAAGCTAATGTTTGTACAGAAGTTTGCAAATGAGACACTATGTGTTGTATTTAAAAAAAGTATAATCTTGAAGTTTTTTAATTTTATGCTACTTTTTACTTCTTCATTTTAGAAGTCAGTGTTGTACTTTTAACTCCACTACATGTAGTACTTTTACTTTTAGTATATTTTGATGCTTTTGATGTAATTTTTATGAATACTTTTGTACTTTCAGTTCAGATTTGGAGTATTGTTACAATTAGGTACTGTATTTTAATATACATCTGGGAAAACCCCTAATTGTGTGTGTGTGTGTGTGTGTGTGTGTGTGTGTGTGTGTGTGTGTGTGTGTGTGTGTGTGTTTTTTAAAGTGGGCTTTGATCACTCCCTGTGTTTCCTTAAGTGTATTGTTTAAGTCAATGTTTGCTGTCCCTGTGATGCTGTGAGCTGCTGCTGCTCTGTATTCCCTTTCCACTCCTCTACTTCCTCCAGGCTGAGGATAACAACAACTTCCAAGAGTAGTGAAGTGAGAGTACTTAATGCCATGAAACACATAGAGAAAGATATTCTCAACCGAGACAGAGTACTACCTTTACTTCATTGTCTGCTTGTCGCTCTTGATGCTGTTTTTTCTTCCCTTAGCTTTAATAAAATGTTGTGTTCCCTATGATCTATTCCTGATAGCATTCAAGTTCCTATTTGATCTTCAGTGTATCAAGTTCCCTCGATAGCTTTTGCCAGTTCTAGTTCGGCATGTATGCATCTACACCTGAACATCAGTGAGAGCACCTGGAGATGGCTCTAGGGCAGTGTTTCCGGCCTAAGCTCCATCACTCATATTAAAATGATGATACATTGTACTTACCAAGCGCTTTTACAAGTGCTCTAAGGTGCTTTACAAAGATTAAAAAAAGGAAAAAAAGGGTACACAACAACATTTAACACTAGGACACAACATTAATTACACATTAAAAGCTCATCTAAAAAAGTGAGTTTTTGTCAACAGTCACTAGTACACTATAGCGTGTTTGACAATGTGAGGTGATTTAATTTAAGATAAGATAAGATGTACTTGATTAATCACAATTTCGGAAACATATTTAACAATAAAGTACAATTATATTCAAAAGCAGCCAAAGAAGTAGACAGCAGAGCATTGTGTCTGCATTAGACTGTCTATACTACACTGGAACTCTTCATAGGTGTTGGGAAATGTGATATCGCCGCCTAAGGTATGCATGTACAGTCTGAAGCAGCCACTTAGACGACCACATGGATATCAGCAAATGAAAAATTTGGGTAGATCTTGTAATGTGTCCAGGCACTGGTATGGTACTTCTGTTTTTCGGACTGAAGTTAGTGCTGCTCACCAGTGCTGGATTTAATGGTCTGATTGCCCACCGTCTGGCCCACCAAGTCGTACTGGTTAAGTCTGGATCCATCAGCCGCCACGTCCACTGAGTGGGAGGCATTATGCGTCCAGATGTAAGTCACCTCTGTCTTAGTGTAGGCATCTGATGCACAGAGCAAGGAGACATTGAATACACCAGTCCTCCAACTCCCTTTGTGTCATTTATACACAATTTTACAATGGAGCATAAAGTGGCCAAAATCTGATAAGCTCATTTTCAGACAGGTTTGTTCCTGAAACTTTCAGAATCTCTTAACACAGAGGGGACACATGTTTATGTATAAAAGACAATGAAAAAGTGGATTTTGCATAATAGGAGATAATTTCATACTAGATGGTACTGTTTACAGATCAAATAAAGCAGCTCACCCATCCTGACTTCAAGAGAGGTATTATTACACAGAGAGTCCCACCTATTATTCAGTCTTATCACTTCATGAACAGTATAGTATTGGGTGGTTGGTTCAGAAGTTGTATTTACACATTTTGTCGAAGAATACAAGAAGTGAATTTTTCTTGTTCGTCACAGTTTTTCTCCTGTGCAGCTATATACAGTAATCAAAATAAACTGTTTAAACCAGGGGTGTCAAAGTCAATTTCATCTCGGGCCACATTAGCATCATGGTTTTATATATAAGACTATATAAAAATACATATATACATTTTTAATATATATAAAATAATGTATTATATTACATTATTGCCTCTGCATTGGATTATTATCGGATAGGGCAATAACTTCATAACTAACTACGTCTGAAAGCAGAAGTCAAGGGCAAATAATTGCAAGTCTCTTCAGTGAGAATGTCACAAAATGGTTTAAAGAGAAAAGCCACATTCTGGAAAAAAACTCAAAAGAAAAAAAAAGATATGACATTTTGAAAAGAAGTAACATTTTGAAAAAAAGGCAGATTCTGAGAAAAAAATAATATTTGGAAGGAAAAAAGGCAAATTCTGAAAAAAAAGTCAAATTTGAGATGCATTGTGGGACATGTAGTTTATGGGCAATGTGCTTCTGTAAAGCGGCATGTAATAGTATAATAAACATATTATATTCTTTGCAAGCTCTTGTGGGGCCACATAAAATGAAGTCATGGGCCGGATTTGGCTCCCGGGCCTTGAGTTACTCAAGGCCCGGGAGCCAAATCCGGCCCATGACTTCATTTTATGTGGCCCCACAAGAGCTTGCAAAGAATATAATATGTTTATTATACTATTACATGCNGATTGGCTGCTGGAGAATGAGGTGAATGTAATAGGTTAAAGACAGCGCCCGTGATGAGCTGATTATAAGCAACTGCGGAGTGAATGTATACATACCCAGTCTTCCTGAAAGAACTTGCGCTGAGCTTCATATAGTGACAAGTGTTCAACAGTTCTTCCTGTTGACAGAAGATGGCACTTTTCTGAGAGGGAGCCAGCTGGCAGACACTGGACAGTGGCAAACCAACAGATGAAACAGGAATCCATCTGAGAGGCTATGTGGAAAAGGATAACAAATAATGTCAGCAAGACATGAACATATTTAACCACTATCATTCAATTCTGTAATTGCAGGTTTGTTAGCATGATATTTCAAACATAAATGGCCTGTCTTAGTTTAAAGCCCACTCACCACGTCAAGGTGCAGGCCACGAGTGAGGGCACAACAACGATCACAAACAGTACATACACACGAGACAACACTTACATACATATAAATAACTTACATATACAATGAACAATGAACATTTAACAAATATAATGTTTGGGAAGTTATTTTAATACATTGAATACATTGAATACATTTAACACATTGAACACTTTGAATACATTGAACACATTGAATACATTGAATACATTTAACATAAATAACACAATTGAAATGTACAATAACTAAACCCTTAGCTACATACGCTATACATCTCCAGTGTGGCAATATTTCAGCAAGATTTGGTATCAGATATGAAAAAAAAACTGACCTGTTGAGAGTTTTGCGTATCCATGTTCAGTACAGACTTGTGCCGCGTTAAGCGTACTCCAAGCAGTATGTTGAACACAGACTTGCAAACAAAATACACCAAATTGGTCAGTTACAGTTGAAGGTACAGATACAACATAATGAAAGAAGCTTGGGATGTTGCTGTTGACATTCACATAAATCGTTCCACTGTTGAAAACCATGTGTTGCGTTTCTTAACAATAAATAAACAGAGGACTGTGACATACATTCAAATCCACATATAGAAGGAAATATAGAATAAATATGTTTACTTACAACAGTCATAAGGAAAATAAAACACGTACAGAGCTACTAAGAGCTAATTACTAGCCAGCCGCTAGCTGCTAACTGCCGCGACCGCCTCGTTAATATCAAACTCCATAACAATCCAGTGCCATGCTGTCATGAACGCGCGGTGCTGTTACGTGTACGCAAATTGACGTGCTTGATGTGAACGAGCATTTTGGGGGCATGGTTAGAGTTGCGCATGCGCTATGAGCGCACATACGGGTACTTCTCAGGCATGCCGGGTAATCTGCGACGTTTCGCTCTCTTGAAAGTTGGGCCATTTTATCATCATGCGCTAATGAGCAACTCTCATAGGAATGAATGAGGCCCCGCCTCCGACGCTGTATCCATTTCTTATTATACATCCATGATACAGATTGCAGCACCGTTTGTCCAGCGGCTTAACGGTATACCGATACCGTCCAATCAGGTACCGTTATTGACTTAGTACCAGTTCTCGGTATCCATCCCTACACCCAACAATCACTAATTTGGGAAAGTAAACTGACTGGCCATGGTTGCAGTTGCTTTGATTTACACAGCAACAAATAGATATACATGTGTTTTTTTCACTATTTGATAACATACCACCATTCTGGTGTGGAAAATGTATAGGGTTATTGGGCAGTATTGATCTGCTACCCTGTAAATACCCTGACCGATCGTGGTTATCTAGCAAGTCGCGAGAAAAATTAAAATGCAATTTAAAGGTAGGGTATGTAAGTTTGAGAAACCGACTGGAGATCGCTCAAATTTGAAAATACACGACCGGAGAAAATCTGCCACTTCCTTACAGTATAGAGCCCCTCCTCCAACACACATGAACGCGCACATGACCAATGAGGGCACGGGATAAGTTTGTGCACAGATCGAGCCGGGTTTCTCAAACTTACCTACCCCACCTTTAATACAACAAACTTGAGTCCAGATCCACATAATAATCTCTTTCAATAAAAGAACCTCAGAAGATCAGCTCACTTCAACTGATAGCATTAATGCTTGATCTTCTATACTGTTTATGACCTATGTGTGGCTCTGTCATATATGTACCTAGATATATGAGGCACCTGCTAATTAATTATACTTTAAGTCTAAATTCTCCTTAAACAGGGTTTTGTCTGTCCCTTTAAAACTGTGTTATTTAAAGGTGACCTATCATGCAAAATGCACTTTTGTACGTCTTTTATACATGAATCAGTGTCCCCGGTGTGTCAGGGAACTCACCAAGTGTCAGAAAACACAACCCTCTCTATTTTCCTCCATACCCAAATCTCTTAAAAAGGGGCTGCAACGGATCTGATAAAAACTGATCCAGATTTGAACACTTCTATGACGTCACAGAAGTGGCGCTACGGCTATTGGGCCGACTCCACCAATCAGGAGGAGACAGCCACGGACATTGCCGTTGGAAAGCGCTGGAGATGCTGTAGTACATATGCCAGGCCTGTAGATGGTGCTGTTCTCACAGAATCAGCCCATGCAAAGACAGTGTTACATTGAGCGAAATGAGGAATGGCTAAAATGCATGATCTGTTTGGTATTTTGAAAAATAAAATGTATAAATATGCCTTATATAGTCATGGTCCTACACTATATTATTCAAATATAGCATGATAGGTCCACTTTAAAGAAAAACGTTATACTTGTTTGCTATTTGAATTATTATTTCGATTTTAATCCTTCTTATCCTAAATATATCCTTTACTATATCGCTACTATACTGGTCAAATCGCTTGTCTCACATAAAGGGATGCTCGATCCAATAAATGAAGGTAAAAAATATGCAGCATAGCCTAAATCGTCCAAAAGCATCTAGTAACCGCACCCTCGCTGTTTCGTAAACGCGCATGTCTTCTAACGCTGCTGCGATGATGATGACGCATCGGGAGATCGGATGGAATAGATTTTCAGATTGGATCAAATTGCTGACAGACTGCAGCAGTGCAGGTTCAAGGATTAGATTGTAGGTGGAGATTACAGAATTGTGTTATCTTTCACAGTTCTTAGTCGTACTTAAGTAAAGTTTGTTTATGTAGCTTACATAGATTCCAATAATCATGCAACCGTCTTATTTTGCCTTGTTTAGGTCCGGAGTAGATTCCAATTCAACACGTAACGTCAACATCACAACGTTCACCAAGATCCTGGACAGTCTGCTGGATGGATACGACAACAGACTGAGACCCGGCCTGGGAGGTGAGAGAAGGAGGAGCTTTCACATAGGAGGAGATATTCTGACCTTTAGTATGAGTCAAAATCCTCAAACACTATATCCTACATATCCTACAATGCAATTTAATGAGGTACCAACATTGCTACGTAATTACACACATCCTTCAAACTCCATACTTGAAGTTTTTGCACTTCCGAGTCCAAGCCTGCTGGCCGCCAATGAATAGATGTCTCCTATTGAGTGTTAGCATACGACACTGCACTGTTGTATGGATTTTGACGTGCGTCTTTTAGCGCATGTGCTAACCCATGTCCAGTGGGAGGGCTTTTGAGGTTTTCTTTCTGACAGTTGTTTGGGAAAGACCATTGCCCTCTATTAGAGAGAGCTAGGTACGTTAGCTGTTAGCAGAGGTGGGGGACTCGAGTCACATGACCTGACTCGAGTCAGACTCAAGTCGCATATTTTTGGACTTGAGACTTGCTTGACTAACATTGATAAAAGACTTGACTTGACTTTAACTTGGTATTCATGACTTGAGACTTGATTTGAGTTGAGACAGATGACTCGAAAGGACTTTACTTTAGTGTATTATACGGAGCCTATAAAGGGTTATGAAAAAAAAAGATACTGTATCTCGTTCGCACGAGAAAGTTACCGGAGTACCCAGTAGGAAGTGGAGCGCACAGGAGACAGCCGTTTCAGCGCAGACTGTAATGTTTATGTTGGGAAATGGCAGTGCATACATTATTTTAGATATATTTCGAACTCGGACCCTCATTCACTAAATGAAATCGCTACAGCACCAGGAGGCAGTGGGACGTGTAACTCCGCCTCTTAGAAGTGCAGCACCAAAGAGCTGTGCCTTTTATGCAACGCCTTCACTGTGTTTACTTTCATTAGAACAGCTGAAGAGCGACCGCAGGCTGCTACGTGTTAACCACACACACACACACACACACACACCTCTACACACATCCAACTGCCCGATTAATCCCCCTATTACTCGTTTTATGAAGGAGATGTCCGGTCACTAAGGCGCATGATGTGCTCAGCTCTGCTCTGTGTGTGTGTTCGTTTTGGTTGTGTCTGTCCGACAACGGCATTTGATTTCAAATTACCATGAACAGTAATTGACACACATCTGGCCAACTCCATATTCATATGTGGGTGTTCCCAAATAAAATAAATGTGTTTAATCTTAATGTTGCACTGTCTGCACACAAACACACACACACATCATGCACCATGGTACATACAGTATTCCGTTGTATTGGCTTTGATGCAATATTTCTTTGTGCACAGACACAGTTAGGAAAACAATGAGACAGTGTCACATGGGAGCACCTTAGACAGACCATGGAGGAATGCTGTGACCCTGCTGAAGGGGAGCCAGGGCAGGAGGCTTAACATGTTGATGTAACATGTGTGTCGTACTCCTCTTATCACTTTAGAGCCCTTTTAGAACTTATAGGGTTAACATTTCAGCGCCCCACTCTCCATTGCTGTTTATGTTGAAAATAAAACTAACATTTTCATAACCACAATATTTGAACTGATTTAAATGCGGAAACTGGGCTTATTCATCAGAACTTCCTATGACTTGACTTGTATTTTGCTTGACATGAGCAATGACTTGACTTGACTTGCTTGACTCTCACCACAGTGACTTGGGACTTGCTTGAGACTTGTAGGTTAAGACTTGAGACTTGCTCATGACTTGCACATGTAGGACTTACTCCCACCTCTGGCTGTTAGCATCACAGTCCTGCTAGGCTAAATAACTGAGCTAACAGCTAACATTACCAGTACAGAGAAAGGTTTTATAGATACACATTATAATGCTTCAAGCTCCAATCAGTAAAAAAAACGTTTTGGTAAATTGTATCGTTATCCTGATGTGGTTAAACATAATTCCATTATGTGTTTGGTTTTGGCGAGTAAATAAAGTTGTTTGAAGGAGATGTTTTACACAGCATTACAAAATAGATATTGGAGAGGGAATTATGACATTTAACTTCCTAACAAACAGTAATAAGGGAATCTATAATAAAGTCATTGGGATTTTATGTTTTTCTTTAGTTGTCTATTAAAGTAACACATTTTGTATCGAGAATAGTTTTGTTTCACTATTATCTACTAAACTTCATGGTGTTTTTTTGGTATGAATGAATAGATTCAGGTGATCCTATCATAAATCAACTGTTAAGTTAGCTAACATGCTAACTTAACCGTTACAGCCACAACTCATAGAAAACAACTGATGTGCTGCAAAACCTAAAAGAAATAGCAAGTAGTAAATGTGGTAGTGGAGGCATTGTGTCACATTTTGTGAATCAAGTAATACTGTACAGTATACTGCTGGTTGAGAAGCTTTTGCGGGCCAGATGTGGCCTTTGTGCCTCCAGTTGACAATCATTGCTGTGCATAGAGCCGAGATGTAGTTCCTCTGGCTGAGACTCCACTTGCTTGTTCTGTCTGAAGCGCAGCAAAGCAAGGTGAGTCTGTGGTTTCTTGGTGAAAAGTGAACGTTTTACATAATCTGCTGTTGCTTCTAAATTGAGTTTGCTACAGTCTAGCAAGTATTTCTGCCTGCCTCTGCAATCAATCAGCTGTAATACGGATGTTGTTTCTGTAATCCTTGGTTAAATCGCAGGAGTTGACTGCAAGAGTAAAATATAGGCGCAGCTGTCTGTCTGAAGGAGAGATATGGTGCAGTCGGGTGTGACAGCAACTGCAATCATAGCGGAGGAGAAACAAGCAGTAAAGTTGTCACGTGGAATAAAATGCACTGTTAAGCTTGTGTATGAAAAACACAGGCTGTGGGTGTGTTCATAATAGTGATTTTGCGTTGACTTGGTTCCAAAGTATCAGTTCTCATGACATCCCTACAGATTACATTACCGATTATTCCGAACCAACAAATGATTTTAAAGGGCACATTTTTATGGTTAAATGTATCAAAGTATAGCATTCTTCAGTTATTTGTACGTAGATTAACCATGTCCTACGAGATGATATATATTTTTACAAAAGTGCTTGTAAAATGTGACATGGCTTTGATTCACAATTAAAAAGTAGCCTACCTCGTGAAAAATACCAATTTATATTGTGTATAGCCACTACAGATATATTATATTTTGTCTAAACAGTAATGTGTTCTACCTTTAGTAAAGAAAAATCATGCTTTTTGCAGATTTCTTTTACTGAAGGGAGGACTTCTTTAAACTGAAAAATCAATAACGCTAAGATATACTATTGCTTTTGATTTGTTATAGTTTCACCTATTTCTTTCTTCCTTTTGAACCAGCTTGACTATTATAATTGTTTCAATTGAGTAATAATATGAATACGAGACAGGCGAGAAAACACACAAACAGAAAAAAAAGATTGTACAATCTAAACGTATTTGATATAATACTACTATTTAATATAGTTTTGGTTATGAATTTGTTTCTTTAGAACCAGCCTGATTATTCATCATATGCTACACGTTATCTATGTCAGTACAGTATAGTACTGTTAGGGAAACTCACCTTGGTTCAGGGTGGTGTGTACAGTGGCCTTTATAATAAAAAAATAAAAAATAAAGCTTCTATCATCCTTGTTCGTCCTTGTGGAGTATTGTAAAGGTACCATCCACTGTTTTCTCTCTATCAGTCATACAAAACGTGCTTCTATTTTAATCAGTGTGTATGGGTAAAAAATAAATTACATGTTGGTGTAGAATGTATCCCGCATAGAGCTTTTGCCTTTAGTATCTGCATGTGTTTGATATATGTGGCAATCTCCATGCAGTGGTATGGGCTGTGTTCAATCTACAGCTCAGATGACATTAAGAGTCATGCAACTGAAATGAAATGAAATATGTTTTTTCTCGTGGAGTTCATTTTTTGTTTGTGCGATGTAGTGTAAATGATGTCAGTGTCACCAACAACACCCAAGGCAGTGCAGGACTGTCATGTTTATGCATCATTCTAGATGTATATGCCTGCATACTGTATACATCTTGAATCACTCAAAGCTTAATCTATGTTTGGTGGCTTCACATTCTGTCCAAACAAGAATAAATATGGCTCTGCATTTATATCTCAGCAATAGTGGGTAAAAAGTCAGAGAAATGATCAAATAGAGGGATCACACGGTTAACCTCTTTCTGTCTGCATGTTCTCACAACACTGATGTATGATTCATGGATGAACATAAGTGCACGTTTTCTATGCAATGAGTCTTTCAAGTTGTGTTCTTGTTTCCTTCTGTCACCATAGTTTAAAGTGTTCAGGATTGTCAATAGACTGTATTTGACAGTAGGGTCTGACCTCAAAAGTTGGGTTTTTGTAGGTGTACGCAACAATGGGAATAAGTCATAGTACTGGACACTACAGGTATGAAGAAGGAATCAAACATGCTTTTTTGGGCGAAAAACATATTATTTTGTATACAAATAGACTGCATTTAAACAGTGTTTTAGATATAAAAGTCGGAATTAACCCATATTTATAAAGATGCATAAGAGAAACTCAGTCTACTTATTTGTCCTATCTCATTAAGGTTGTGCATTTCAAATATAATACGCTTTTCTACATTTAATTTGGCTGTTTGTCTTTGCAGACAGAGTAACGGAAGTGAAGACTGACATCTATGTAACCAGTTTTGGTCCAGTTTCTGACACCGATATGGTAAGTCTCACATCTATCCTCTGAATGCATTTTATCAGAATCCAAGACAACATACAAAGGCTTTGTCCCAATTAAGCAGCCATAGCCTTCGATGTCTAGTTTCGTAGACCAATTACTTCACAGCTTCCACGAACGAGACTGTCCCATTTCTACAAATGCGGACAATTGAAACAAGGCATTTTAACTACCCTCATTTACTGTTGCCACCCAACTAATGTTACAACACTTTTGGCTAAAAGAACAGATTAATCATTTTTAATTTACCTGTGGTCTTTACTTAGCCTGCAATGTCAATCGCAAACAGTAAAGCATCTTCAATAAATGGTTAAAGAAAGAAACTAAAATGAAAGTTTCAGGCTAAATTTTTGCTTAGTTAGCTTGTTAGTAGCAGTGTTCTGTAGCAGTGTTCCGTAGCACTGTTCCGTAGCACTGTTCCGTAGCACTGTTCCGAAACCAAAGTTCGGTAGTGCTGTTTCTGACGCCTGGAAACCTGGAAAGTAGAGCCACGGAACACTGCTACGGAACAGCACTACGGAACAGCAATAGTGAACAGCGCTACGGAACAGTGCTATGGAAGAGCGCCACAGAACAGGGCTAGGGAGCAGTGCTATGGAACAGCTCTACGGAACAGAACAAGTGACCAGTGCAAGGAAACAATACTATAGAACAGAGATATGGAACAGCGCCATTGGAAGAGTGCTAGGGAACAGGGCTACCGAACAGTGCTACGGTCAGTGCAGTCAGTAACAACGTGTTACATAAACAGGAAATCCACCGTAGATTAGACTGTACCAATTGTGAGACCGCTTGTTTCTGCTTACTTGACCATGGTGCCTGGGTCCTCTGAAGACTGTGGTCGCTGGGATGCAGCTAAAGTGTGAAATGGAAATGGCTTCAGCTCCCTGAAAGCCTTGACCCCAACACTCCAAGCTGTCAAAATAAATGTCCATTCAAAACACAGCACTTTTGAATCTGCTTCTAGCTAAACTGCTTTGTATGAAACATGGAACTTGACACACTGGCTAAATGTCATTTATGGCAGGCTCTGAGGCTCGGACAACTAAAAACAATAATTTAGAAATGCCTCTGACAAAGCAAATTCATCAGGAAGAACAAGCTTGTTTCAAAAGACAATGAAATTCCTAGAAATAGGGAAGACATTTTTAGAAATATTATTTTAGAAATGATTCATATAAATAGCATACTGTGCTAAATTGGGTGTTGAACTGATAAAGAATCGCTCCAGTTAACCAAGTGTAAATGAGACATATTGCAACATTTAAAAGGGGTCATGTGATTTATACTTTCTATTCTGATACATGTACTCTTTGTTGGGTTTGACCAGACTGACATGATCGTTTAAGAAATCTCAGGGTTGCCTCGCTGGGCCAGTTAAGACAAAATCACAAAGGTCCAGCAGATAATATCTTGCAGACAGAGGCCTGTCAGCTCTGCTTGCCCTGTTGCCATTGGAAACCCAGGCACTCCAACCGTGAGAGTGATGACATGGCAAGGGTCAGCCTGTGTTATTAAAAATGAGATCTGATCATCCACTGCCATGCCGCTCTGATATAGGGCAGTGTGATTTTTTTACATATTAATGATCATTATCATATATTGGCCGTCCATTATAAATCCTAAGATTGTTCTAGTGCAGCATTTTAATAGGATGGCACATAGTTTAGTCCTGCCTGTTGAATTAAGATTGTAATGATGTTCAAAATTCAAAATTCATCTCATTAAACCACAACATGGTTGAACGCCGTCTACTGTTCTGTGGATTGGAATAGATTGACCGAGGTGGCACCGCTAATGTTTTTGTGGGAGATCCGTAGCTGTTTCTTGTCAATCAAAGACTTTTACAGCTTTTATCAGCTAAAGTCAGCCTGGTACCATAACCAAAACAGCTGTAAGCCAAAGTTTGGCCCAGAAAATCGGCCATTTATTGGATTTGTTGCCTCTCCAATTGAACATTTTTTTATGGAAACTACATGTCCATTCACAGCAGCAAGAGGAGGGGCTGTTGAGATAACTATATGTGGTTCCCTGTAACTAAAGTTATTAAATAAATGTAGTGGAGTAAAGGTACACACCATTTACCTCTGAATTGTAGTGGAGTAGAAGTACAATGTAGCTAAACTTGAAATACTTAAGTAAAGTACAAGTACCTCAAAATTGTACTTACGTACAGTACTTGAGTAAATCTACTTAGTTACTTACTGCAGGTATGTTATGTGTGCTAGCACTGTAGATGAAATAATTTTTTTTAATTTGGTTTCCAATTTGTTTAGTTTTTCCCTTAAAAAGTAACAAAAGAACCGAGAAAAATACTGTTAAAGTACCAGATCGACAAGCAGTATCGGTAAGAGTAGTACCGTTACAATCTTAACGATACCCGTAGGAGTCGCTGATGTAGCAGGTAGAAGAGTTCAGGAGTTCATTGTATAGTCACTCAATGGAAAGACAAGTATTCCTCTCCGAACAATAGCAAATCAATTCCAACTCCTTGGGGTAATAGCCGATTGGAATACCTACACTTGACACTTATTAAGACATCTTGGTTCTCCTTGGACTAAACATGTCATGTACCCACAAGTTTCCTAAGCAATTGAATGGTCCTGATTATGCACCCAAGCTGGATCTTGAATGGGTCAGCACGTGGAAAAACTTGCATACTTGAGAATGGCTGACCCAGTCATTCTACTCCTTGGGACAGCTGTATCAAGGAGAACTTCAGGCAACTCTGTGCAATCTGCACACAAATGTCTTTAGCTTGGTTTAAATGCTAAAACCAAAGTATTTTCAAACAGAGGAATGCCTTGATCAAACAGTCTTCTGAGAAGGACAATCACTTGCACCTTCAATTTCAGACTTGGCTTTCCTAAAGATAACGTAAAAAAGGGATTTGACAAGAATATTACCCAAAGTTGGGAAGCTAACAATGAGCTTATCAACTTTTCATGTCATTACGTCCTTACTTGAGAGAAAATCTATCATGAGAAGCCTCTGTAAATAATTGATACAAAACATCCTGACCAACAAGCATGCTGAGAGTTGGTGGCGTGAGAGTGATGACAGTTCACACCCTCCAGCAGGGCACAGGGTCAAATGTTTCTTGGAGATGGAAATCCTGCGTTCGTTACAGAGGCTGTGTTCATTTATCTTGGTTAATGGCTAAAACGTGTATCGAAATAAAAGCTAAAAACTGGGCAAACAGTGTCACGTCACATCATACTACATCAGCTGGTCACTACCATCAGGCACCTCATCAGGCCCTATTCTGCTTTTAGGGGTTTTCCTCTCCTGTAGTGCATTATATAGGTTTTTGTGCATGAAAATGTTCTGCAAAGGCTAAAATCACAAAAGTTCCCTCAGAGGGAGTTTTTTCAGTCACCATGTACTGTATATGTTCCTTCCTCTGACAGAGTATATAGGAGTAGCTATGGTTGCTACATGATTAGACTTCGAAGTAGTGCAGCACCCAATTTAACTTAAGAGTGAAATAGACAGGATGGTAGAATCAATGGTGTTACCTGTGGAGCTGTGTACATAAAGGAGTTACTGCTCTGCTTCCTGCTGCTTGTGTACTGTCCATACGTTGTTGTGTGAAGTGCATTGATTCCACAAAGGAAATGAGGGTCAACCTAGGGGCTCCGGGACTGATGATTGGATGATAAGTCAGCTGTGGCCTTGGTTAAAGGTACATTTTAGATCAATTTTTTAAAACAGAACAGAGAATGGGGATTTTGTCCACCATCTTTTACACCGTAGTGATGCTATAAATGGATTGTCTCACTGCCAGAATGGACAGAGGTTGGAGAATGTACAAATGCAATACTGTTTTCTGATAGTTGGGATTTTCTCATGTCTTTAATAGAGACTTCGAGTGTGTTGACAAGGAAACAAACTGCTCCAACTCTCAACCACACACACTCACACACTCAAACACACACACACACACACACACACACACACACACACACACACACACACACACACACACACACACACACACACACACACACACACACACACACACACACACACACACGCACAAGGCCTTAAAAGCTTTTCTCAGTTTTCCAGCACAATCCCAGCCATCAACCCCTTCCCCACCCCCACCTGCCTCTTCTCAAATATTTAAGTGGCACAGAAGCGAGGGGGGCAGATGGATGGAAGTGGTTGTGATCGAGACAGCACCTTCAAAAGAAAGAAAAAAGAGAGATGGTCTCATGTTTAATTCATAACATGTCTCCATCAAACTTGCAGCGGATAATTTCACCCCACCACTGTGTCTATCTTCCCTCTGCCTTTGATAGCTGGGCTCTGATACACACTCATATCCCCTCCGCGGTAACACACAGCGCACACAAACTCACACGCACCTTTTCCCTTTCCCTGATAGATTGGACAGCCCCCTGCTATGCCCTCCGCCTCGTTGTTTGTGAGGTTTCTCATTGCTGATTATAATTTCCTGTCTGTCCGTCGCACTCAAATACTGTGAAAGCAGAAATACAGGGACACTCTTCAGAAACATAACACACCTGCTTTTTTTTGTATAACGTTTTCCCCATTGTGATTGTCAAATGTCGACATTCTAAAGCCGTCTATTTTACAAGCCATTGGTGTTTAAGACAAACTGTTCCATTCAAGTTGAACTGAAATGTATACTACTACAGCATGCACATTTTCTCTGTAAATTACTTGTCCATTGTTTCCAGGAGAAGTGATCAGAAATCAGAATGCTGGTGTCTTTTTCATATTTTTGTTTTTGTTTTATTTAATTATATATATAAAATCCAGTATCAAGCAGCCACCATGAGAGTCATAGTGTCTCTGAAATTCTTCTGGGTTAAGTTTTGCCCACATATATTGTCCATACATCAGGGATGCTGCAAGCAAGCCCTGTTTTTCCACTGTGGGTTTCCAAAATGTAAAGCCCATAATTCGAGATATTTATGTATCTGTGCAAGTCATTGAAACGTTCTAAAGCACATTGCTGAAGAAATGTCACAATTAAAGCCTTTGTCAACAAATAAAGGGATTAGGGCCACATACATTGAAATAGGGTTCTGCAGCCTGGATCTTTTAGAAAAATATTACCACTTATTTTCTTAGGCTAGTGAAAAGCGGATACTGTCTGGTGTCTTCTGCATGACTTTACGAAGAAGTTTTGCGGTTTTTTCAATCCTTACGCAGAGTGTAATAAAAAGTTTAGTATTAGACATTATTTCCTAGTTTAAAAAGGCCCTATTATGCTTTTTGGTTTCCCTTTCCTGTAGTCTGTTATATATTTATTTTTTTACATTAATAAGTAATAATTCACACACAGCTAGAGGTTGCATGTCTGCTATACATAAACATCATTTAAATGTTCATTAGAACAAGCAACAACATGTTTTCTCTGTGAGTCTGTGACTGTGATTATTGGTCTGCCCAGATTAACCCTGGTTCTACAAAAAGACATACAAAACCTAAAAATCCACATGTATTATGTATATTAGTTCATAATAAAGTTGTAATTATGAATTAATATTTGACTGAACCATGTAATTTCTTTCTGTGCAGTCAGTAGGTAGTGATTCAGTCTAACTGGCTAACCATTGGGTGTGACGGTATTTCAACATATAACGTGAAGTAATGTGAGAGACAGAGTGAGGATGTTTCCACACTGTTAGAAGCTTTCAGAGTATTGATTTAAATCATGGCTGACACTTTGCCTCAGGAAGCAGCTGGCTCTCACACACAGGTCAGGTAGTTTGGGACAACAGGACAAAACACAAACCCCAAGCATGTAGGATTTCTCAGATTTGAATCTCACAAAGGAATTAATAGACATGGGATTACTTATTGGAACTGAGATGATCCTGCAACATTTTAGATAGCAGTTCATTTAGATGGCGGTATATACCCATACAGACAGTTTTGGGAAACATTTTTTCACTGGAAACTGGTTCAAGAATGAACTTCGAACAGCAAGGAAGGACAGTGTTTCTGAAATAATATGTTCTGTTGCACATGTGCAAGTCTTAACGGAAAGGAAGTAAGAAAGGAAGACAAGGAGAGAGATCAGAGTGAAAATGGGCCAATCTGAAATAATAAAATGGAAATTAGCAGTCCTGTGGGCTACGGACAGATGAAGTGGCTCTATATTTGTAATCTAGAAAGAGCTGAAAGGCAAGAAGCAAACTCCTTTTTACCATTTGAAAGTTTGAGAACTGTGAAAAAACAATGGATCAAAGTGAAGAACTCTGCAAAGAAAACAGAAATTAGTGCAAGCAAGATTCACCTGCATGATGCCCATGAAGGCACTCATTTGGATGAAATGTTAGTCTTCAAAGTGATCAAGATACTTTTAATACTTTAATAGATCCACATTGACTCATTGAAATGTTTTTTTAAATATCCTTTTCTATCCACAATCCTTCAATGTTGACAATTTGCTCCAAAGTCAATGTCCATAGACCCCATGTTAAAATGCCAAACTTTGAAGCAGAAATATACATGTTTACTGACTGTTACAAATACCGTTTTGGTGGCGTAGCTAATTTTAACAACAAAACAGAGAGTGATGACTCGCCTATTAAACCCTCAGTCAGAGCCTTCCTCATGGCGTGACAGAGACCATGTCAATATTTCATGCATTCTCTGGTCAATTCTCAATGATGTGAACCTCACAAACTCGCCTCCATTGATGTTGAGTAAATGCATAAATATCATATTTCAATAAGAGTAAAAATACAACACAAAGTCATCCGCATGACTTAAAAAAGCATAGGGAGCGATTTAGTGGGCAAATATGTTCCTTCAAATATCCTAAAAAAACAAGACTTAAGTCTACAGATTGGTCCAGAAATGAGTCTTGAAACCCAGAAATGAGTTAATATTTCAGAACTTCTGGTTTCCTTGTCTGAAAGTCAATGTTTGGCTAAATGAGACTACTAAACGTCATCACAACGAACATTAGCCGCCTTTATCTTAGCCGCAGTGACGCCCAGCTATGCGACTTGATGTACTTCATTTAAAGTTGTTCACTCATTACAGATAACTCCACAGTAACATACAGGAATGCAGACCAATACTAGTGACCAGTTGCACCTCTGAGTTTTGGTTAGCATTGGTTCCAGTGTCATGGCGGTACACCTGTGGCCCAGTGGCATCTCTTGCTAACTGCTTGAAGCTAACCAAACAGGACATCGTTGATGAGCTACAGCTGTTCAGCCTCTTCTCACCCTGCTCTGTCTCTCCTTATCTCCCTCAGGAGTACACCATTGATGTTTTCTTCCGCCAGAGTTGGAAGGATGAGCGATTAAAGTTCCACGGACCAATGAACATTCTGCCTCTAAACAACCTGATGGCCAGTAAGATCTGGACGCCTGACACGTTCTTCCACAACGGCAAGAAATCTGTCGCCCACAACATGACCATGCCCAACAAGCTGCTGAGGATCATGGAGGACGGAACCTTGCTCTACACTATGAGGTAGGCGGCTCTAACAATCCAGTGATAATATAGTAATGTCAAAATAGAACACAAGTCGTTCAACATCCGATAACGCAATCCAGACAAGCAAAGATACATTTATCTTATGGGTATAAGCATTTGTTGTTGTTTAAGGGGAAAAACTTAGATCACTAAGTCTTTATCAAATATTAAATATCATTTAAACCAGTCAACCAGCCAGGCTTTGGGAGTAAAGTATTACATGTAATGGGATTACTTAATCAGGATACAAAAAAGAAAGAGACTATGTTTTTTTATAGTTACAAAAACAAGATGTAATTGAATTACATTTGGACTTCTTAAAGAAGACTTCCTTCCTAGGAGGATTATGATGTTAGTAAAAATCTAAAAAGAGCACATCGTTTTTGTTGTAAAGGATCAGATGTTATCTCTTCTCTGTGAGCTGTTCTGTTCTGTAGGATAATACTTTAAGTGTGAATCTATACGCCTACTGCCTGGATCTGCTTTATGGTTTTCACTTTCTTTGCTTCATTTGTTCTGTTTTCAATTCAGCAGGTGAACCTTTATGTTCATAAAATAGTGTGTGTGACGAGCTTAACTGTGTGTGTTAAACTAAAACAGAGCATTTCCTGTCAGCTCAGATTTCATTATTTATTTATTTGTATTGGTTTAGTATCTGCTCATGTGTTTCATTTCACAGTATTTGACATTAAGGTAACCCAAAAGTAAAAAAAACATATTTTTACAGGTAACTACTAATTATAATGGAAACATTTTTAAACTACCCCTCTCAGTTAATGTGAACTATGAAAAACATAAATCATGAACAGTGTTGGACCAATGTATGTTTTCTTTCCTGATGAAACATGGATGAAAATAGAGATATTAAGTAATTAAATGTCCTCCTAGTAATAGACCCAATTTCATGGCAATCGATCCAATAGCTGTAGTGATATGTTTGTCTTCCAGTGACCGACATCGCCATACATAAAGTGACTATGGATAACAGTTGGTTTTGAGAGTGCATCATCTACACTCTATTTAACAAATCACAACTATGATATAGCTAAAAAAACTGTATTCTACTCTGGATTTTAGATTACATTTTACTCCCTGGTGGGACTTTATGGTCATAGTGTTCAGGCCACAGCAACAACACAATAACTCATACTTACAGTTGACAAAAAGGATTGGGTAATAAAGGGGACTTCAAAACAAAGCAGAGGTGTCTTTACCAGCGCCTTCAAAATAGAATACAAAACAAAATCCATAGTGCGCAGCAAGCTTGCTACATTGCACATTTTATGGGAAGAATTTGTCAAGACCTCTCAGCTGTATCTTTTGACACCCTATACTTTTGTTAGGAAGAGAATCAAGTGTTGTAGGGAAGACATTGTCTCTTTATGCCTCTATGCAGCAATACACCAAGCAGATCAAAACTGTTATTTCTGTATCCATATTTGTGGGTGTGTGTGTTTGTGTTTAGGTTAACGGTTCAAGCTGAGTGCCCCATGCACCTTGAGGACTTCCCAATGGACTCCCACTCCTGTCCTCTGAAGTTTGGCAGCTGTAAGTGTGTGCACATCATCCACACTGTGCATCCTTAACCTTTGCATCATTTAAAAGGAGCAGTATGCAGGGTATGGCCAGATATTGTTAATAATACATACACAGTCTATGCCGTTTTGGATGTTTATTGCAGATGCCCAGAATCCACACCATCTCCTTATCCTCATTGCAACAAATAACATGTCCCCAATCGAGAGGCAGTGATAACTCATTCACACTGTGTTCAAACATCAAGTTTTGACACCAAGAAGTCTTTATAGCAGTAATGATTACATTGTATACACTACAATACAGTGGAAATCCAAGCATTTCAATGTTTGCTTCAAAATCACATGCGTCCCAAAGCCATTCTAGAAATCTACAATAAACATCACATTTTTAATATCACACTTTGGTTTAAACCAGGGGTGTCAAACTCAAGGCCCGGGAGCCAAATCCGGCCCATGACTTCATTTTATGTGGCCCCACAAGAGCTTGCAAAGAATATAATATGTTTATTATACTATTACATGCCGCTTTACAGAAGCACATTGCCCATAAACTACATGTCCCACAATGCATCTCAAATTTGACTTTTTTTTCAGAATTTGACTTTTTTTTCTCAAAATGTACCTTTTTTTCAGAATTTCACTTATTTTTTGAGTTTTTCCAGAATTTGGCTTTCTTTTTAAATCATTTTGTGACATGCACACTGAAGAGACTTGCAATTGTTTGCCCTAGACTTCTGCTTTCAGACGTAGTTAATTATGAAGTAATTAACCTATCCGATAATAATCGAATGAAGAGGAAATAATGTTATATA